GTTAAGTAACATTTAGTGAAGCATAAAAAGGAGCTGCTGGAAGGAAATGTTACTGCCTTGTGTCTAAGCAAAAGCACTCTCTTCTTGCATGTAACAGGCTAAATCTTGAGCAGTGTGAATGGGAGAGTTTCAGTCTATTACCCCTTAAAGCATCAATCCTTTTACCTAATTTTTGGATTGAATAACAATACAGGTCTTACAGACACAGTCTTATATCTCAGTGTGAATCAAAAGGTTTATAAAACAGTTACCTATCTCTAATTTGAAACGGGGCTAATCCCATAAGAACTGAGTGCAAAAAAAGAAAAATTAAAATAAAATAAAATCGGAATACAAAAACACAAGACTGTGTATAAATATTAATCTAGACATAGTTAAATGACCTTAATTCAAAAGCTTAGATTTAGTCAAATCTTAGTCTCTTTCATATGGTAAACACTTGTAATTTAGAACTAAGTGTTTTGTCTTTTAAGGAATTTCATTGTTTTTGGCTTTTGTAAAGGCTGTGTTTAATTTTTTCTAAAAAAGATTAAACTGTCAGTATAATAAAACAGTTATCTGCAGTTTTATGAAGTTTCACCTAGCTGGGTCAGTTTTAAAATTATTATTGTATGAACTATTTTCAATAATCATGCAAATGATCATTATCAGTCCACAGCTGGATTAAGAGCTTATATTACTAGCGGGCAGAAGTTTTTCCTGAAGCAATGAAATACTGTAATCAGTCCAACTCTTTCTTAAGTTATCCTATTCAGAACTTGGTTTGAGATTAACTATTTGCTTACTAATTCTATTAGGATTGCCATTTTCATAGGTGAGAAAATACAGCTGATCCTTTTAGATAGCTTTCGTAGTGAGGAATGCAAATAATGGATGTTCAGCAAGTTCTGTATTTGCTCTGGAACATAAGAGCAACATCTCTTGGAATATTTGTTCCATGTCTATTAAATGTCAATGCTACATATTTATCCTTAGGGCTGACAGTGAATATAGGAATGGGGATTTTTTTTTAAAAAAAGAATATTCTTCCTAGAAATTGGAAATCTTGACCATTTTGGGGCCTAAGAGGGATAGCACAAGTTTGCAAGGTAGAACATAAATAATAATTGGCACGACCCATCTTCAAAGGGTTATTATTACAAAGTCCTCAGTGAATTGCTTATTAGATTGTATGATTGTGATGTGAATAATGAGACAAAGGTTACTTTGTATTTTAATTTTAACGTCATGATACCCCAGTTTTCAGTGTGCATCCTTTTCTAGATGTATGAAAGATATATGAAGCTAATCACCATGGCAATAATCCAGGCAATTTAAAAAAGAAAAAAAAAAATCTAGGAGGTCCTGGTTCTGTTTTACAAAAGTGATCTCCTGACTCTGGATCCATCTCTGCCTTGACCAAGGTATCACAAACTGGGGAGAGGATTGAACCATTGTGATTTCCCTTGGATAAATAAGTTACTCTGATGCCTCACAGAAAAGTCCAGATAAAAATAGACAGTATACAGTATAATAGGAGAAAAATTAGGTAACAAGGCAAGGTTTTCTTCCTTTTCTGACTTTCAAAGGATCCTCTTCGTGGTCAGAGCAATTATATGACTTGTGCACTGGTGCAAACCACAACATCTGTTTAGTAGAATGCAGAATGCTGGTAGAAACTGCTATAAATATTATATTTGCAATATTATTGTAGTGCAATGGAATATTTTATTATGGATTGATTAAGCATTTATGTGATCTTATACTGTTACTTGATTACGTTAGGCTGTCTTTTAGAGTTGTATTTGCAGAATCTCTGGAATTAGCCCTCTGGAAAGTTCCAGTAAAGCAAGCAGGAGAAACATCTCACTTTTTTGTCTAATCAGTCTGAAAGGCTCAACACTTATTATCAAATCTCCTTTTACATATACATTTCTTCAAATATTTTCTGCTGATTTTAAAGCCACCTTAAGGCAACTTTTAAGATAAATGTGTTTAAACCAATAACATACACCAATAGAGGCGAATATGTGTAGCTCAGGGTTGAACTGTGGAG